TAAGAAAGGTATTCTTAAACTGGTATTTAAGATTAAGATTTGCAAAGTCCTAAGACTGGGAATTTTTCAAGCCAGAAATTTATGACCTGAATATTGTATTGGCCCTCAAGGTCTAGGACAATAAAATCTCATTGTAACGTAAAGGGTTTTTTTTTTGGATTAGATCTAAACTTTCTAACTGAATAGCTCATACGGACTTATGTAATGCACATTTATTGGAGGGTGGGTCAGTCAATAATAGAGCAATGCAACTGCTAAACTCACAAAACCAAGTTAGTGTAAGCACTACCCAGCTAAAATCATTCTGCTGTACAGGCAACAACATTACTCTCTTTTTTTTTGTATTTTACATTTGTGTGTGTTGCTCATGTGTGGAAGTCATGGCAACCTCTGGCAATTCTGGCCAGTTTGGTGTAGCGGTTAAGTGTGCGGACTCTACTCTGGGAGAGCTGGATTTGATTCCCCACTCCTCCACTCACAGCTGCTGGATGACCTTGGGCAAGACATAGTTTTGTTAGAGCTGTTTTCTCAAGGACAGTTCTCTCAGAGCTCTCTCAGCCCCCCCTACCTCACAGGGTGTTTGTTGTGGGGAGGGGAAGGGAAAGGAGTTTGTAAACCGCTCTGAGACTCTGAGTGAAGGGCGGGGTATAAATCCAATCTCTTCTTCTACTACTACTGGGGCACAGAGGACATTCAGAGAAGTGGTTTAATAGCCTGCCTCTGGCTTCCTGGCCCTGGTATTCTCTGGAGGTCTTCCATCCAAATACTTGCTAGGGTTGGCCCTGCTTAGCTTCCACATTACTTTGATGTCTACACAAACTTTAGGCATGTAAGAAATCACACTGAGTCAAAGGCCAGCTGCTCTGTGAAATAACCGTATCTGCTGAATCGGTTCTCCTCTGACTAGCGTATCCCAGATGTGAACAGAACAGAGAGGAAAACTTTGTTCTCTCAGACAGGTTCAGAGTAATATTTTATGCTCCGTCTTTGCAAAAGGAAAGACTTGGGGGGCAGTTAACACACTGATTAAGCCAGAAGGCACAATCCTTCAGCTTTCTTTAGATGCGCTGATAGAAGTTAGGGGTGGTATGAACCATGAAGAAGAACAGTCTCCTCAGAGAATCTGGGGGTCTTCTATTTCTCTTATTTCCTTAGAAAAAGACTCACAAATGATTATGGGAAGGAAGGAAGAGGAAAACAACAGTAAGGAATGAGGATGCTGAAGCCAGAAAGTGGTTGGGCCTCCCCCCCCTTTCCCCTACTTTTAAATTTCTAAAAGCTCAGTTTTCTGGATCAAAGCAAAATGCTCCTTTGCAGGACAGGTAACTTATTACTAATATGTGACTTTATATTTGTTTAAAAAAAATAGACACAAGAAGTCACAAAACAAAGGAAAAAGATCTTATGGTAGGGGGAAATGATATAGGAAAGAATTCAAATTTGATAGTAGTTTGCTGGATCAAGGGAAGGGTGGTAGAAAAGGAACACATACATCTGCATTATTCCATGGTGGCCAGTACACTAGCCCACCATATCTTTTCTAACTTGAAATTAAAGCTTTCCTGTGGGAGAAAATGGGCCTACACTTGGCATAATTCCTGAACAATTGTCTTTCATACATTCTATGTTCAAAGTTTCGACATACGAACAAAAAAGTTAAAGAAGTTTTTTAAAAGGACATAACTGTACAAGGGAGGAGCCAGATTAAAAATTAGGCTGATTTCAAAACCTCAAAACATGGACATATAACTACTGCCAGGTGATTGTATATATGAAAAAGTTAACTTTTATATGCAATAATGCTGGATTTGCACACATTTAGCACTTTTTTTTAAAAGAAGACCGAGTGTCTTTTGAAAACATCAAAGCTTTCTTATAGTGAGATGTTCCTAAAGGACTAGCAAACAAATGTCTGTTTGGAACTTCCCAGGTGCATGGTGTATTCACAGAGAGGGTTAAAGTTTCAAAAGGCTGAGGGCTAACATAACCTTTACAAGGTTTAGGGAGCCCTTTCAAAAGCTTTCACCTCTCCTGGAGAAAGGTCCTTGTTAATCAATCAGTCCTCTAAACACCTGTGCACTCAGCCGCCACCTCCTTCAGATACATTGACAGTATTTACATATCCTTTGTGCCGATGTAAGGTAACAAGGAAACCCAACACCCCAGCCTTGAAAAGCTACCAGAGACCATGGGATTCATTCTGAGCCCAAAACACACACATGAAATGAATCACCTCATCCCTCTTCTGAAATTCTATGTGCAAAGCAACTATTTTGGGGGGACTAAATTACTAGCCAGCTGCATTGTGGCATTTGGAAAAAAGCCAGCTGTATTATGTAACCAGGTAAATATTTGCAGTTGGATAAACTTCAATGTTTATACTCTTCAGAGTATTCTCCATACTCAGCATGAAGTAACACAAAAGGAATAGCTAATGCTACTACCTTATCTTAGGTAAGAACTGGCAACCACTCAGAGATTTAGAAAAGACAGTGAATACTTTCTTATTAGGTGTTAAAATATCATCAGCTGTTTAAACCAAAGAGGCATCCTAAATTTATTTGAACATAACAGTGAAATGAGAGGTCAGGACACAGTGAATTCTGCAAGAAAGTATATAATTAAAAGGAGACTCTTAAGGAAGAGGAAGACAGCTCTACAAGCTGAAATTTAAATTCTAGGACCACAATGCACTCTCTAAATTGGGGGGGGGGAGGTTGTCATAACTCCAATTGTAGAATCTGTTTTATTGGTATTTTTTAAAAAATGGATTGATAGTATATTAATAGAGAGAGATTTAGAAAAGAGAGAATAAAGAAAACAAAACAAAGAACTGCTAACCTTTAAAGGTATTCCAAATCGTCACTTAAGTGTTTATCAACATTCATGAATATCACAAGCATACAGCAGGCCTTTATAGCTTAGGCATTTAGAATAAGGGAATGCTTTTATTAGACCTAACAAAAAGCCACCTAGAAGTGAACAGACTTTGGAGTTCATCAAATCTTTTTGTCAGACCTGTCATAAAGCAAATTAGGACACACACAAAAGTAGGATGAAATAAAGGATGATAGTGGGCAAGTTTGAAAAGTTCTTGTTTGTAAATCTGAAACAGTTTTACGCTGAACTGTGCATTAGGTTTACCAGTTGCCCTCCCATGGTGGGCAAGCTCCGGTCCCCACCCTCCATTCCCCATGCTCAACAAGGGGAGCAGCAAGAGAAAAAATGGGGGGAATAGCTTAGAGATCACCCATAATTGATGTCACAGGATCCCTAGATAGTTGCATGTGGTGTGTGTACGTATGTGCAATGTCTTTTCTGGATAATCACATGATGCTGCCCCTGGCAACCCTATCTTTGGCACTATATTGGACTGTTTTGCGCCAGGCATTACCTACGTTAATTGAATGTATGAAGCTGTCTTATATTGAATCAGATCACTGGTCCGTCACACTGAAAGACTGGCAGCAGCTCTTCAGGGTCCCAGGCAAAGGTCTTTCATATCAACTCCCACCTGATCCCTTTAAGTTGGAGATGCTGGGGATTGAACCTGGGACTTCCTACATGCAAAGCAGATGTTCTACCACTGATCCACAGCCTCTCCCCATTCAACTCAATTAACAGTACCAACCTAAGCAGAGTTATATCCTTCTATGTCCATTGAAGTCAAAGTGTTAAGAATGGTGTGAGTCTGCTTAGCATAACACTGTGAGCCTACCATGGTACAACCAGTCTACCAGTTCCATGGAGCTTTTCTTCTTGCTAACAAACATCCTATTCCATTTTTGTTTCAATTTGCAAAATATCTATTCTTTTATTAGAACCAAAAAAAAGCACAAAAGTATTATCTTACCATTCTAACATTTGAGACTCCCCTGCAATGAACCAACACAGCTACATACAATGTGTCTTAACTTATATACTCATTTATGAAACACAAAACTTGTGGTTTTTATTCAGGGGTGAAAGGGAAGGACGTGGTCTTGTGGGAGCCAAAGTTCTCTTCAGAAGTATAGAGAGCAGAACAGTTGTGTGCATTCATGATGTGTGGAATGTTACTCCTGCACTGACCTCAGGAACTCCCTGGAATACTATGTAAACTTCCAAGGGGTGGGGTGTGCATGAATTGTATGTATGGCTTGCAGAGATAAGCTGCACTGAAAAGTAATTCTAGCACCATCTACCACCACTACATTTACTATGCATTAGAGAAATAAAAAATGTTGGCAATATGAGCAGCATCTGATTGGCCTTAGCCTGTATGCTCCTAGTGGTAACTTATACAATAGGTGATAACATGAGACAGGTCTTTTCAGGGATTGCAACAAGGCTGTGAAATACATTTCCATTAAGGCACTCCAGAAAGAGATCTTTTTTCTCCCATAAGTAAAGACATTTTTGTTTCTTTGGTTTTGAGGAAGGGGGCTACCTGAATCTGACTGCGGCTGAGCAGATTTTGAGATTGGTTTATGGAATTGGGCATTTACAGATGGGCTTAGTTCTTGTAATTTATGATGTTTGGCTAGAACTTGATTTCATTGTATGTTGTTACAATTTGAGGTAACAACAAAATGAATCAGTTGAATACATGCAACAATTAAGGTTTCTATGTGCAAGGCTGACACAAATAATCCAAGTGTCAATCAGTATTAAACTTTAAATCAGAAGCCATCTAATAGGTTCATCACACTTAAATAATGGCCCCTACATTTACAAAATTACATCACCTTGTATTATTTTGTAATGATAAGAATGTACAAACCACCTTGCTGGATCAGACCTTGCTGGACTTAGTCCAGTACTCAGTCGGCAGTCTGCAGAAGGTCCATCAACGAGCGGACAAGACCTCTGTGTTATTTCTTACCCCCAAACATCTGCAACATCCCAAATGGACTCTGACGGACCAATCTTCCATGAATTTCCCTAGATGCTCTTTCAAGCCCTCCGAACCATGAAGTTCCCTAGCAATTTTGCATTGTATGAAGAAATATCTCACTAACTTGCAGGTGTTGTTGCTTGACTCTTCAGGACAGTGATGGTGACAGTGGCATAACAGCATCTTCGGCAGGGGAGCAGCCGCTGTGCTTCCACCATCTTCCTTCCTTGTTTCCATGTTCACTTTCCCAGAACTACGTAAGGGCCTGCTGTCTAGGAAACTGGCTGCACAAGAAAGAAAACAAAAACATTAAGTTTCTGTGCAGGGACACTTTAAGGCCACTAAACAACCTGAGAGTTTTGAGCTCAGACTGGGGACTTAGCCATGAAACTTGCCAGGTGACCCTGGGCCAGACAGTCACAACCAGCCCAACTTACTTCACAGGGTTCTTATGACAAATGGAGAACAAGCCAACTATGTACTCTTCCACTGAGTTACTTGGAAGAAGTATGGGATGAATATATGACAGACAGGGCCAAGAGTACTTCTGTGGAGGCAGTTTCCCCTTCTTATTTTTAGACTGTTGTGACTCGTATTTACTCTAAATGTACTTGGTATGGTGACCCATCCAAAGCTGGCCCAAGGGTTTTTGGCACCCTAGGCAAACTATGACCTTGGTACCCATTCCATTTTCTATACTGGCAAACCAAAACACTGAACAAAGGGCACAGCTGCGCCCACCGTGAGCCCTAAGCAAGCAGCATTCCAACATACACAGCCTTTGCATATGGAGGTTACATTCCAATCTTTGACCACCCTCTTTTTCTCCATTATTCCTTCTAATCCCCCCTGAGATTCTGTGAAACTCACTCTAGAAACCATCAGGACACATTTTACTTGATCAACATGTATATGCAATGATGAAAAAAATACCAACTAATATATGACATGGAAGATACTGTTTCCAGGGTCAGATCCCAAAATACAAAAGAGAACAATGGGAAGGGAAGGAGCAGCCTTAAGGGACGGCTGGCCTGTGACACACTTTTGGAGGCTTTGTGACCCACAGGTTGGGAAACACTGGGCTAATCCCTTTCAGGGCTGGCTATCCAGATGCTTAAAAGCATACTTTAAGAAATTGGTAAATGAAATTCATTATTCTACAATATTCCACCCACCGCTAAACCTCGTATAAGGAAAAGGTTTGTATTGAAGACCATTTTCCTAAGTCTAGGATATGTTTTGAGTATTACTATAATAAAAATGTTTCAATGCTATTGTTAAGGATTTGCCCCCCCCCAGTCAGAATAATGAGACAGACAACAGTTTTGGAAGTAAACAAGGGCCACTTTATTAACTATTTAACATAACACTGGGGCAAGGGACCAGCTAAGCGAGCACAGAACAGGCAAGGCAGGTGTCACTCTCTTGACCAACCGCCTTGCCCTTTTCTCGGATGGGTCACTCAGCTCTGGTCTTGAGCCATCGGTCTGGCTCATGACCAGCAAACTGGTCGCCACCTAGGAGCGCTTACCCCTGAAGCCTTCCAATTTGCAGAGAGGACCATACCCTAAGAGGTTCCCAGAGGAGGTGATCACCGTTCCCCACCCTGGACCTTAGAAATCCGAAGGCAGTTCCTGATGACCCCCTGTTCCCAAATGGGGAAGAGGCCGTAAGGTGCTCACCGGTTCCAGTTTCTTGCCCATAACAATCTGCCATGTGACCAGCCTATTTAGGTGTCGACCACCACAACCAACTATCTAGTCCACTGCTCTCAGTGCAAGGTAGGCAAAAACACCTCCACCCATTCAGCCAATAGTGAGTAAAAGTGAAAAATTCCTACCTGACCCCAATAGCCGTAGCCTACACTAAGAACAGGGTGGGAGGGTGGGCAAGCACATTGGAGCAACTGTCATCAAGTGGGAGCAGAGCCCGGGCATTTATCCAGGCCGGTTCTGCCCCCTGCCTACGACATGGGTCTGTTGCTGCCCAGCTTCCTCAGGGTGGCAAAGCAGTCCCCGGCAACCAGCGGTGTTGCTGGGAGCCTCATTTTAGTAATAAAACCACTAAGCCATTTATAGAAATGCATATTACTATTGAATAAGCATTGGAATCCTTTTAAGAAAGGAATCACCATATTGCAAGTTAGCTGCCATGAGAATCAGAATTACAGAAGGAGACAGTGCCCATCATCTTTGATGAAGTGGTCTGATACAAAATTACCTAAGAGAACAACTCTCAGTTTAATTTTCACACCCGCTTCGGCGGGAGGGCAGGATAGAAATTAAATAAATAAATATAAATAAATAAAACATCATTCCCACATATACAGAATTTTAGCAAACCCATCAGAATACTCCGGTAAAGGTACATAATGTTTAGAACTTCATGGTTACATTGAAATTTGAATTTTTAATGGCCCATATTTTTGGTACCTTGGTCTACAAACAACTTTGTATTTCAAAAATTAGCACTTTGATTCAGCAACAAATAGTGTTTTAAGAAACAACTATAGTACCATATTTACTCAAAAGGAAGATGACATTTTAAATATTTCTTTGGCTTTCTTGAAGGGGGGGGGTCATCTTCCATTCAGGAATATAGATCTGCTGATTGGTACTATGCAGAGATGGCGGGAGGATGATGTGAAAGGCAATTCACTGCACATGTGGACAGCGTTGGAGAAAGTGGGAAAAGTTTCTGTCATTCCCATGATGTACTAGTTTTCTTTTCCCTTTCCTTTTATACCTTAGAAGCTCATTGATTCACAGATCTTGAACAGCATAAGATACTTGCTTCTGATTTTTTTATGCAAGGGCTAAGAGGACTGAGACAAATTCTGCAGTTGCTAGAGTAAACTTAGGATCCTTATCGCTGAGCAAAACAAAAATGCTCTAGAGTAATATGGGATGGTAAGATAATACATATAGAGGGGGGTAAAGATCTTGGGAAAGACCAAAAGATAGGGGTGAGCAAACTCTTCAGGGTGTCAGGATCAGACTACTATAACCAATTTCTAGGACACACCTTTTGATCAGAGAAGATGATTCAGATTTGCCCATCTCAAAAATATCATTAATCAATATTTTTCCAAGGGTTGTGACCAAAGACTCCCTTCTGGTATGGGCAGAGAGTTGCACTAGAGGAAGGTATAGGAATGCCAGCCTCCAGGTTGGACCTGGGGATTCCCCCAGGAATTACAGCTCATCTCCAGCCTACAGAGATCAGTTACCCCGGAGAAAATGGATGCAGCAGGGGTGTCAAACACAAGGCCCGGGAGCCAGAATGGCCCATCCAGGGCTCTTATCTAGCCCACAAGCAACTGGTGCAATGGAGGGAACAGGAGGCTGCTCGAGGGGAGTGGGCGGAGCCACTCCAATTGTGGCTTCAGCTCGGCAGAACAATCTCATCTGCAGCTGTCAAGCAGAACCCCTTCACTTCAGTGGCAGCCTCACTGGTAAGTTAGGAGCCACCGCAGCCACATTTATGCCAAGCTCAGGTTTCCAAGGTGAGGCTGCATGGATCGGCGTTTGCATGTGGAGGGAAGCACCAAGGATCCTCTGCTGGGGCCGCTGGCCCCATACAGCAGCTGTGCTTTGGCCCATGGGAGGCATTCTTCAGCAGTTTCTTCCACACATCAGAGGCCTAGTCCTGCCACCAAGCATGCAACTCAGTGGCTGGGCCTCCCTCCCCCATGGAACACCTGGTGGCCTTCAGCCATAGACAGCTACCATCTCACGGGGAGGGCGATGCTGGCAATCTCCAGCTATACTGGTCACTGGGTGGCCTGGGGCCTCTGCCATATTAACAGCTTTGTGCACGCATTGCCCACTCTCCCATCAGATGATCTGGCAGCCTTTGGCCTGGGGTGGCCGCCGCCGCATGGAAGTGACATGACTTGCCAATGATCTCTGGCTTGAACCCCCAAGCATAGCCCCGCAACGGGTTGCCTGACCGACTTGGCCAGAGGCAGCTGCTGCTGCACGGGCATCTCCAGCTTATCAGGCTTTGCTTGGCCTGGGTCCTGCCATGCACGTGGCCTTGTGCCTGCCACCACCACCACCCCCGCTTCCACAAGTGGGGGGGGGAGGTTTAGCTCAACTTGTCTTCCCAGTCCCCAATCTGCCCATGCAGGTTTTCCTCTGCAACCCCGGGCCCGCAATGAGGACACACCAACTCGGAGCTTACCAACTCCTATCCTTTATATAGTTTGTATCTCCGGTACATGGCATTTCATTTTATGGCACAGACAAAGTGACACTTATGCAAGATCCAGCCCTCATAAGAAATGAGTTCAACACCTCTGATTGGCATTGCACCTCACTGAGATCCTTGTTCTCCCCAGGACTGCTATCCTTTATATAATTTATATCTCCGGTACATGGCATTTTATTTTATGGCACAGACAAAGTGACATTTATGCAAGATCCACTAGCAACCTTGCTTTTAAGTGTTCCAAGACTCCTTTCCTGAACAAGCCTCTCCAAAATGAAAGCGTGTCACTGGATCCACCCCTAGATGCAAGGAAGTCTTGTTTTGAGCATGAGGAGAGCATTCCAATGTGCAATTCCCAGTGTAGAGAAAGGGCAGTACTCAAGAGAGATTTCTGAGTGTTTCTTTCAAAACTGCATTAATCAGTAGAATCTCTTTTTTGTATTGTTCTCATCTATGCCAAACCATCTTGGAGACCATCTGGATATAAATCCTTTAAATAAACAAACAGGTGGTTTTGTACTTTGCAGGGAATTTTAGACATACATCTGTAACAGGTGCACAATTCTTTGGGCTTCTTTTGGGGAGAAATGTGTGACATTTGGGGGTCTGAAACAATAAGATGTGACCAAAACTAACTTTAGGATCTTCTACCTATAAAGCAAACTTCTCTCTTAATGCTACTTATTTCAGAAAATCAGACTCCTCTTCCTCTAAAAAGATTCTTTTTGGATTAAAATTCTTTAAAATCCAGCCTACGCAGGGCAAGTGAACATCAACAGATGTTCACTTTCTGGGTCAGTGGAACAGAGCCTCTTAAAATGAAGTCCTTCTTTCAGCAAACAGACATAAAGCTGGGATTCTGACCATGTTACATTGTTATTCATGGACCGGGGATAAACTTTTTATAAATGTTCCGGGCAGAGGCTTTCAGACATCTGGCTCATGGAGCTATGATATTAAATAAAAATATTAATTCCAAATGAGAGTTCCAGGCTCTATTTTCATCTTCCATGGTATTTTTTTTCTGGGTGTAATGAAGTTTTTCTACCCCCTGTGACTGACAGAGAAA